CTGCCTGCCCTGTACAGGCAGGCAGTGTGCTTCAGCACCAGGGCAAGGGCTAACCATAGAGACACTCTGGCAGCCAGAGCATCTCTGTGGAGGACCCAGCCTCTGGTTGCCTCAGGGTACAGTCTGGAACCATGTCCTGCCCCCCTTTTTTTCTCTGCAGGGTTTTTTGACCCCGTAGATATCCAGGGGTCTAATTTTGCCCCTGTGCTGCAAATTTGCAGTGCAGAGAACATTTTCTCATTTCTGCACGTGCCTCTTGCAGCGTTGCAAAGGGGTTTGAGATGCTACAAAAGGCACGTGGGTCATATTGAGACCTTGATTACATATCAGAGGTAACTAAGTATGTTACAATTTCACCTGTTTGCAACTTCAGTAAACAGCAGTGCTTAGTTGATTCTTAACCAGTTCTGCATTCTTGCTCTGTCTCCAGTTGGAGTACCAGGATCATATCATTTAGGCACAAATATTAGGTTAAATAGAAATAGCTCCATACATAAAACAGTGCTGTGACACTGAAAGGTCTGGGGATTGCTCTTTATGGGTGGGAGGAAAAAACCCAGCTGTAAATCAGGTGAAGTCTGAAATACAGTTCCCCCTGACCCCCAGGACAGATGTGTATGTGCACGCATGCTCACACACACACACACACACACACACACACACACACACACACACACACACACACACACACAAACTTGGGATGCCATCCTCAGCATCATGGTAGCTGTGGCCCATCTAACTTTTTATATGCCCTCCTTTTAGCCTGTAGACTGCTCTGGATTTCTCTGGTCAGCCAAGGAAGCCTCTTGGCCCCTTTCCCCCTTTTTCCCTGCATCAGGATCATCTCCCTCTGTGGCCGAAGGAACACAGGGCTGTTTATTTACCATGTATCGGTTTATTTACCATGTATCAGTGATTGGACAAAGGGAAAATGGACCACTCGTCTTATTGATTTTGGCAGCTCTCTAATTTCTAAACAACAGTATGACCATTAGGCATTACAAAAAATAACTATTAAAACCCTCCACCCATTAAGTAAATGATAAAGAAAACATCTGAGCTAAATGTGCATTTTCAGAAGCACACCCTCTGGACTCAAAGTAGATGTGCAATTACTATCATGGGCACGCAAAAGTTAGATTCTGCATACAACTAGGAATACCATATTTCCAGTTCCAAAAAAGAGGATACCAACAAGGGGGACACCTCACTTCCAACCCACAGACCCCAGCCCTGCCAGTGCCCCTCACTCCTAACCTGCAATCCCCATCCCTCCTGCTGCCCCTCACTCTTGACCCGCAGACCTCTCACGTCCAAACCACAGTTCCCCTGCTCCCCCCCCCGGGCCAAGCTAATGCTCCACTCACAACCCGCAGCCCCCTGCTGCTGCCAGTGCTCCCTGCTCCTGGCCCACAGCCCTCCATCTCTCCTGTGCCTCTCTTTCCCCACCACAGCCCCATGCTCCTGGCCCACAGCCCTCCATTTCCCCTGTGCCCCTCTTTCCCCACCACAGCCCCCCCAGCCCTGCCAATACCCCTCACTCCAGACCTGCAGCCCGCCCTGCTTCCCCCAGCCCTGCCAGAGGGAGCCTCCAGCTGCCCCTATCCCAACCAGGCCAGAACACGGCAGCTGCAGTGGCTCCAGCTCCTGTAGGTGATAGCAGAGCAAGTCTGGTTCCAGCCCGGGCTGCAGGGAGGAGGAGGAGGAGGGGATGCCTGCAGGGAGAAGGAGGAGATCCCTGCCCCAGGCTGTGGCTCCTGTGGAGTGCCAGGAGACCAGGCTATGACCCCCCACTCCCCACTGTCGGGCAGCATTTCCTGGGTGCCCTGCTCCTGTGAGCACGGGCACTGGCCCCTGGTACCACTAGCCTGGCCACGCAGCTCTCCACAGCCTGCAAAAGCCACTCCCCCCCACACAAGCCCCCCCCCCACCCTTTCCCGTGCTGGAAGGGCAGGTGCCTTCCCCTGCCCCTGTACCCTGCCGCAGCCCAAGCGCCTAGACATCACCTCCCAGCACCGGCAGACACCTGTCCCCACCTCAGACACCCATCCCCTCTACCTCCCCCACCCAGACAGTCCCCAAGGACTGGCCCTCCAACCCCCCACCCCCACAGACTTACCTGCATCCAGATGCTGAGGCTGTTCCCACCACCCTGCCTGGCTGCATGCCAGCCACAGATGCATGTGGTGACCCTGCCTCCAATTGCCCTCCCCCAAGTCCTATCAGTGGAGCAGAGCAAAATCCCAGACATTCGATCATATTTTTAAAAACTGCCCAGACGGAGATCAGAGGACCCAAAAAGAGGACATGTCTGGGAAAACTCAGATGTATGGTAACCCCAATATAACTATGACTCTACATGCACACAACCCCCACCATAGCCTTGTATAGTTCTTCATTTATGGGTCCTCTCAAAACTATGTGCACATATCCGCTTGGCCATTTAATGTTCAGCCTTCAGCCACCTCCTACTTTTGAAGACATGAAAAGCACTAAAAGAATTAGAAAGAGATCACCTAGCATTATCAGGTCATTATTTTAAGAATGCGCTTGTGCACCTTGGTTTTCTAGGCACCAGAAGCACCATATTTTTTGAGATTTGTAGAATGAGTTTAAGAGTTGAGTATCTCACACTCAAAGAGCAACATGATCCAAATTGCCAGAGTGCAGGACTGGAAAGCCAGGTCCTCCTGAGTTCAAATCCTTAATCTGCCCCCAATTTGCTGTATAGCGCTCTCTCCAAGGAGTTTTATGGGGATTACTTAATTATGTAACCGAATGCTGTTTCTCACTGATGCTCCATGTGTTTATTTGCAGATGGATATAGCCATAAGGCCGCTCAAAACCAACTTGTAACATTCCTGGTAACCCTCTGGAAACAATGAAAGTTCGGCTCAAAGGAGATGCAATCTGTACCCTTTTCCTTGTTATAGCACTTTGCTCTTTACTCTATTCCCAGCTGGAACACTTAGGTTTAGCAGGTAACAAGGAACAAGCTCACAAGAAACCTTCAGCAACACAAAGAATCTTCCCAGACCCCCAAGCCCCTGGGAGATACTCTCAAGAGGAAGTGATAGTAGCCAGACCCAGAATTATTATTACAAAGAAGGCAGAGGTGGATGATTATTCCCAAACTACCACTGTGTTCCCACTGACTTATTCTACCTTTGACTTCAAGAGCTACCTTCTCAACAAGGACAAAAGAAACTTCAAACTTCTCATTAACCAGCCCAAAAAATGCAGAAGAACGCCTGGAGGTCCCTTTTTGCTTATTGCCATCAAATCAGTGGTTGAGGACTTCGACAGGCGTGAAATTGTCCGTAAGACCTGGGGCAGGGAAGGTTTGGTACATGGGGCACAGGTTCAACGAGTTTTCCTTCTGGGAATACCAAAAAATAAGTCAGCACTGGCTACATGGGAGACCCTCATCCATCAAGAGAGTCAGACCTACCGGGACATTTTACTCTGGGATTTTATGGATACCTTCTTCAATTTGACTTTAAAAGAGATACATTTCCTGAACTGGGCCAATGAGTTTTGTTCAAATGTGAACTTTATTTTTAAGGGAGATAATGATGTTTTTGTCAATGTGGAGAACATCATTGACTTCCTTGAGAGGCGTGACCCCACAGAGGACCTCTTTGTTGGGGACATAATTTACAATGCACACCCCATCCGCATGAGAAAGAGTAAATACTACATCCCAGAAACAATGTATGGGCTAGGCATGTATCCAGCCTATGCAGGGGGAGGGGGATTCTTGTTGTCCAGCCAAACCATGAAAAAGCTCTCTGAGGCTTGCAAAGAAGTGGAGCTCTTTCCTATTGATGATGTCTTTTTGGGCATGTGCTTGCAGAGGATCAATCTCAAACCTGTTTTGCATGAAGGATTCAAGACATTTGGCATTGTGAAGCCCTCTGCTGCCCCACACTTGCAGACATTTGAGCCCTGCTTTTACAAAGATCTCATGGTGGTCCACAGTCTAAAAGTACCAGAGATCTGGCTTATGTGGAACTTGCTGCATAGCCCACGGCTTTCCTGCACCCAAAAGAAGCAAGTGAAAAAGCCATTCCAATGGAAGAAGAAGACTAAAATGATAACAGAAGCTGCAACTTCCTGATAAAACAGACAAAGTATGACAGAAGCACATGGTGAGCCAAGCTCAAGCAAGGAGGAACCAAGGCAGACTGCAATGTAATAAACTTGGTTTAGAAATAGAGTATTTTAGCACTTTTCCAGTACACAAGGGCAAGTTTTTGCAGAAGCCTGTCAGATTTCCTGGTTTGTACATACTATACATAGTAGGATTTTCTCCCTAACGTAATTCATATAATCACAAAATTAGATTTGTTAGAACTGCAATAACATTTAATCCCCTCAGGGATTACATTAGAGAGAGGACTCTAGTCCTATAGGGGGAACATGGAGAAAGAAGGGACAAATAAGAAATTAAGGATGGTGTCACTTGCAGAGCAGAATATAGGTAAGTTGGTCACGTGACCCAAGATCCCCAGGTAATTAGGAAGGGGCAGAGTTGAGATGAGCCTTAAAAACAAGGACAAGAAGTTTCAATTGCTCCATCCTAAGATATTGATATCTCATTGCTTATAGTGACGTATACAAATTACACACCTGTTAAACTGCTGCTGAATCAGGACTCAAATTGGGTAGGTTCCTAGCAAGCTGATGAGCTTGATTTATATTCAATGGAAGCTAAAAATCATTTGAAAGTGGCAATCTCTCTCTCTCTATCTCTCTCTCTCGCTCTCTCTCACCTTTGCAGACCAGATCCTCAGCCAATGCAGCTCCATGTTCGACCTCTATTTGTTAAGAGGAATGACATATAGGACTCCCATGAGCACCACATTTCTTTCTCTCCCTCCTTTGAATTGGAAGGAAAATTATCAGTATAGTGCACTAGTTTATAGATTGCGGCATTTTTATACTGAGTGCAGTCAACTATAAGAAGCAGCTGGGCCTTTTCACATTGCTGAAGACACAATTTTATTATTCAGATAAAAAGGTTTCAAAATAAGAGCCTTTCAAAACTCATTACAAAAGAACAAACCCAACCCCCCTCTCTCCCCCTCTCCAAAAACCACCTCACCTCCAGACTCTGCCATCAAATGGTATCCTATGTCCTGTTTATTGTTTTTGTATAAACATTTTAAACTTTGGAGAAGATCACCAGCTTATTTGACATCGAATGAACTTTTTTCCACTTAAAACATTTCCCCCCCAGTAACAGTGAATCTTAAAACAAACCTTCCTTGGACATCACAATTAGGAAGTGAATCACTTAAAAAGGGTCAGAAAGGTCTTTTAATCTTGGAGATGATGGATCTGGATTCACAGCTGGCTGAAACTGTTTCCCAATTTTTATGAAGCTTCTTCTCTCAACAATGTCCTGAGAGCAGGGCATTTAAGCATGTGCTAAACCCATCCTTATTTTGGAGAGCTCTTACACAAGTATTTCAAGTCAACAGAACTTTAAGCACATTCTAAATCAGAACCTAGGCCACAACCGTAATTCAAACGTGAGACTCCACAGAATTCCAGCCTTTATTTTTCTATTTAGCCATAGCCAAAGCTCAATCCCCACTTCAACTATGCAGAGAGTGAAAAAGGCTGTTAAAGGCATTGATTCACTACTGCTATTAAAGATATGCAGCAATGTGTTCCAGGTTAAAATTTAGCCTTATGACAACATATTTTCAGGGAGAAATACCAGCTACAGTAGACACTGAAGATCTGTAAGTTGATCTGTAATAGGTTGGCAATTTCTGGGAATATGACTTTATACACATATATATTTCCACAAGCAAAAAAAAATTGTTGAAAAATATAGTAGTTCTGGAGAGGGTGGAAATATGTCATAGCCTTGTCAGTTGGAAAACCACCACTCAGGGTCTGTAGTAAATGTGCCATATGTATGTATTTATGAGCTGTACAGAAAAGTGTTGTTATTAGTTGGGTAGTTGGGAAATTAGTTACATGTTAATTAAAAGCAACATGCTTATCCAATTATTGGGATTAATTTGGTTTGTATGTATGGGTGGATGGGTGGTGGGAAGAAGTAAGAAAAAATGATACATGTATTTTTGAACAGAGAAAACAACCTGCAGAAGAAAATTAGTTATCTTGGATACCACAGCAAATCCTTTCTAATGAAGGGGTTTGTTATTCTAATGAAAGAAAAAAATAGTTGTACATACCTTAGAACTTCTCATCACGTAACTACTTAGATCCTCCTGTCCTCATGACATCCAGCTGAGTCTGCTTAAACTGAAGACAAGTCCTCAGATCCACCCATTATCATGATGGCTCTTTATTCTGAGCTGCAAGGCCAGACAAATTCTTGCTCTTCTTTCTCTGAACATTGCTTCCATAGCTGCAACACTCTCAGAGCACAGCATTAGTGTCAAGACTGCCATATTATCCATTATTCTTAATGTAAATGTCTCCTCGATGTTGTGGAGACAGAGCACAGGATTTTGTAGGAGGAAGCAACTAATCCAGTCCTGAAAGAATGGGTCTTGGTTTCCCACTAAGTAAAAAAGAGGGGTAAGCCCAACAAGAGAATTAGCCAAACTGCCTGGAACAAAGAAAGGCTATCATTGGGACACCAGCATATGTCCCAAAAGCTAGCAGGAGTAGAACTGGCACAATTTATTCACCTCTGTTGCCCTCGTTTTTGGAATACCTCATTTCTTTGCCCAGGAAACACCAGGACCCATCATTATTTGTCAAAACTTTGTGCACAGTCCATTCTGCCTGATATCAAAACTTTCCATCTACCTGTAAAAGTGGCAGTGTTGAGCTGCAGGTTCATGTCACAACCCAGTGATTTTGGTGCCTCGGCACGATGGAATTTTCCCGCCACATGAGAGCCTCTTGCACAGCAAAAGGTTTTTGTTGCAACAGAAAAACCTCGGTGCAAGAGAGTTCCCACCATTTAAATGCAAATGTGTGTTCCGCTATTGGCCAGTTCTAAATTATTCCTACATGGCGGCTAGTAATTGGCTTGCTAGCCGTTTAAAATTTCGTGCAACTTCCACCCAAGTCGGAGAACTTTGAGCACGCTGCAGAGTGCCTCTAAAGAGATCTGACTTGTGGCTGAGCTGATCGATAGACTGATCCCCGTCGCCGAGCGCAATCCTCGACGTACCCTTTCCCTGCCGGCTTAATTTGTGGACGGATTAGCTGGCCTGAGCCTTGCCAGCTGGAGCAACTCACATAGTTGTTCAAACGACCGGACCATCTGCGTTGTGGCTACAAGCGGAGTAAGTAAAGTTTTTGCAACCATTAAGCTTTGTCTGCCTCTCCATTCACCAGCCCGCCCAGCGAACGAGTAATTTCTAAAATCACCTCGAGTCGGCTCCGGCCGTCCGAGACAGTTCACACTGAAATAAATGGCACCACCATTCCCCCATCTCCTAGAGGAAGGCTCTTCTACTAGCTCACCCACTAGGTTCATTTGATAACACTGGGCTATTTTCTTTCTGAAAATGCTAATGTCTCACTCTGTGTTGCCTTGCAGGCTATCTGGAAGCCCTCTGTGCAATGGGTAGAATGAAGCCTCAGAACCATTTTGTAAGACCCTAGGCCTATGTGCAATAATAATGCACCAATAGAAGTTTCTTTGGAATGGACAGGATTCTAATTTTGGAACCAGGAAGGCTGTCTCCATAGCAAGCAAAGAGAACCAATTGCTTTCATGGTGCACATATCACCAGTAGATTGCAAGACCCTTTGTAAAACTAAATATGGAATGCTACCCTGTAGGCTTCAAGAGGGGGAGAGAGAACAGAGGGTCTTACAAACACCTACTGAGTACAAATATGTAACATAAACATAAACCAAGAGTTTCAAGCTATTATGTCTAAAATAAAATGGCTACAGTCCATAGTTAAGTGTTTATATTGGGCTTAATTTTCAGAGGTGCTCAGTAATTTAAAAAAAAAGAAAGAAAATGTTTCAAATGCTGAAAAGCAGGTTAAGGTACTCCATTCAAGCCCCCAGCCTGGACAATTTGACTACACATTTTCACTGAAACCAGTTGCATACTAGATTGATTTATTGTACCCTAGGTGTGGTTTTCTTTTCTTCCCACACACACACAAACGCTGCAGGAGAATAAGTGCATGAGATCCAGACAGCGACTTTTCATTTTACCTTTTCCAAGCAAAATGATGTGCATAAAAACCAAACAAAAAGCCCATACATGACAACAAGGTATGAAAAAAAATCCAAGCTGCATCACAGAAAACCAGGCATTAAATACAGCTGTTTTGCTAAAAGCCACTTGAGTTTGTCATCAACAGACTGAATCAATGCACTGTAGATGCTCTGTAGATGACTATAACCCTCAGTGAGGAAGGATAGATGCTGGAAAGGTGCTATGTGGGTTCCAACAGAAGCAAGTAAAGCAAGCAGACTTCCTCAAGACTAAAGGCAAACATGAAGCTAATACAGTACAAATGGACTTATTGAATCTCAGGGATCCACACACAATCCAACCCTTTTCAGACTATGCTACTAGCCAGGCTAGGCTTGTTTAATGAGTGGAGTTGGCTTGGACCTCTGTCTCCCAAGTCATTAACTGAAGGTGAATGCCAAGACCCAGCTTTAGATCAGGCTGACTGATGATCAGAAAGAAGAAAAATGGAATTTTCTGAAGCAACAAGGTATTAGAATTATGTGTTTTATGTCTAGATCCTAGTTTAAAATATGTCCTTTTAAAGCAGGTTCTGGAAGTGAACTCTGGAGGCTGAAATCAAAAAAGGTACAGAAGCAAGCTTTGAGAATTCATGCTAACCTGAAATGTTAAGAAGTGTGAGCAGTCTATGGAGAATATTAAAAAGACAATCTGATTTAAAAAAATAATAATTTAAAGCCCTAAAATGTTATGACCTGACTTTCAGAAGCACTGCAGGTGTTGTGGATGCATAGAAGTTCTGGAGACCAGCCCACCACACTTCTTGTGATGACTAAAACTGGAAAACTTGAACATCTGACCTGATTTTTACCACTTCTGCTGCTTACGTTTGTTGTGCAAGGTACATGCAACACAGACAGAAGAGTCAACTTCAGTCTCCTGGCAGACATGGTTAAATGTAATATCTTTTATTAGATCAACTAAATAGCTGGAGAAATTGTTCTTTGCAAGCTTTCGGCTTCAAACACCCTTCTTCAGGCAGAGGGAGAGTCTACAGTTGTATTGTATTGCCTGGATGGGCTAGAAGCCAGTATGCAGGAATACAAGTCAGTGAAAATGCAAATGCGTGGCAGTGAGGTATCCTAGGGGGTGAGAGAGAGGAGAGACGGTAGTTTCTCACCACCTGATACCTCACTGCCAGGCATTTGC